CTTAAGACCGCTTCACATACGGTAACAGTAAAGGTAAACGGTAAAGGTAAAGCCCTATCCGCTTACGTGCCCAGCGCGTTTACGCTCCGTATGTGAAGCGGTCGTTATGCAAAATTCCGGCAGGCGGCTATTTTCTGTTGGTAAAACTGGCCTCAGTATCGACAAATGTGCTAATCACATGGACCTACTCAATGAGAACCAGTGGTCACTGAAGAGTGAATGCGCAGGGAAATGCAGTTACTGTATCTTACCACCGAGTATCGAGCGGACTAAAAGCTATATTTGCTGTGTGTGACACGGCTGACCTTTTTGATTCCTGACATCGAAGTTCGCTGGCTCGAAAGAAGACTGAATCAGACCCCATAGTGCCTTTGCAAATGATATGCAGGTCGTATCAAGGCTCAACCTATGCACAAAATTATACATAGTTCCACTCAATGTGTATTTCATAACAAAACGTGCGAGCAGATCCCCTGAGATACCTACCGTTTTCGGTGATTTTCGGCAAATGGTCTGTACACCAGGTCATAGTCCGTGACCCGGGGCTGCACAGTGCGCAGCGCCGCCTGGAAGTCTTCCAGCTCTACGGTGGCCTCCGTACCTCTCGAGCCCAGCAGCGCCGCCTCGTGACAGACAGCGGAAACCTCAGCGCCCGAGTAGCCCTCGGTCTCTCGGACAGCCACTGCGGTGTCACGGCGGCCGCCGTCGGCATCCCGGCCAGACGAATGCGGCCGATCTCGGCGTGTCTCGGCGTCTGGCAGCGGCACGTGGACCACGTGGTCGAGCCGGCCGGGTCGCAGCAGCGCCGGGTCGATCAATCGGGACGGTTGGTCGCCGCCACGACGTGACGTCACGCAGCGCGCTGACGCGTCAATCTCAGTCAGCAGCTGCGCCAGAACGCGCTCAGCCACACTGCTGGCGCCCGGAGTCACCGCGACGCACCGCCAGAGCGTCCAGCTCGTCAAAGAACGACAGCGGGCGCCGACTGACGCGCGCGGCGGAATACCTCCCGCACGGCCGCTCCGACTCTCCCACCCACTTGCTGAAGAGCTCCGGACCCTTGATGAGATGAAGTTGAGACCGCTCTCTGTAGCCAGCGCCTTGGCGATCATGGTTTTGGAGCAGCCCGGCGGCCCGTCCATCAGCACGCCTTTCGGCGGTTGTGACGCCCCGATCTTTTTGAACGCCTCTGGGTGGTTGATGGGCCGTCAACAGCCTGTTTCAGTCTCAGTTTTGAGAGCCTCCTGGCCTCCAATATCCTTCCACCGAACGTCAGCCCCTCCACGAGCACCTCTCGCATGGCGCTGGGTTTGCACGGCGCAGCGCGGCCATTAGATCTGTCGACGTCGGCTCGTGTTCGCTCCTCTCGGTGGCTAGAAGCGGGCCTCACTGACCACCGCCGCAGCATCGGCGCCTACATGCCGTGCGCGGCGGCGGCGACGGCGGCCAGCTGGTCGGCCGGCGGTCGGGCAGCAGGGCGGTGAGGATCTCTGCCTGTCCGCCGGTCCTGGCACCGTCAGCTCCAGCTCACGGTCCAGGCGGCCGGCCGGCGCACGGCCGGGTCCAGAGAGCCCGGCGCGGCGGTGGCGGCCACCCCAGCCCCGGCGGCATCGTCCAGCAGCGAGAGGAGACAAGTGAGCAGCCGGCGATGACGCTCCGAGCCGGTGTCCGACCGGCCCGCCACCGCCTCCACATGTCAATGAACAGCACGGCCGGACGTGGCGGCGCGCCGCCTCGAAGCTGTTCCTCAGGTTCTCCTCCGTGCCGCCCTTGGTACTTGCTCGCCAGCTGGGCGCGCGGATCAGATGAAACCTGGAGCCATACTCCGCCGCCAGTACCGTCGCCAGAGCGCTCTTCCCCGTGCCGGAGGGGCCCCAGAGTAGAACACCACGAGGCAGCTCAAGCGCCGGCCGAGCGTCGTCAGGCCGCCACTCCTTCAGCACCTGATCGATCATCGAGCGCAGGTATTGAGCGTGCCCGTCACCCCTCCCAGTCGCGGTGGCGGGGGTGGGCGGCGGGCCGGCTCTGAGAGAGAGATACGACTAGCTCAGTCTCCTCCGCCACCTCTACCAGTCGGTCGTCAAGATTCGCACGTCTCTCAGATTTCCGGGATGATGGAACAGCGGCCGGTCCGTCCCCAACGCCAGCTGGGGGCTCCGAGCCGGACACGGCTAGCCGCGCCAGTCGGCACGCCAGTTCGTCTTCCGCTCCGGCCTCGGTTACCTCGGTGACTGTGAGTGTCAGGGGTGTGCCCATGAAGGAGGACGTAGCGGTCGCCGACGCCGAACACCAGCCCGCGCATCTCCACCGCCAGCTGCTCCCGGAAGCGGTCGGTCCCGGCGAACGGCAGCGCCCGGTCGGGGGCGAGTTGGAGTCGAGCGGCCGGCAGCAGCGCTCCGGTCACCGGGCGCAGCGCGGGCGGCTCGTCCAGCGGTGTCAGCCGGGCGGCCGTCGGCTCCGGCACTGCCACAGCCGCCGGCGGGCTGTCGGTGCCGGCCGGCAGCGGCCACAGGCGGCAGACGGCGCGGCGCCGGCCGCGACACTACCTGAACCCGGTCCCCAGCGCGCAGGCCCAGCGCGCCCGCCCTGGCGCCGGTACCAGACAGAGCGCGCGCGCCCAGCCGGGCGGCCAGCCTGCTGCGGTGCCGGCTGCAGCCAGCCACTGGCCAACAGCCGTCCGGCGCGCACGCAGCCGCGCGGAGGAGCGACAGGCAGCACTGACCGTCGACGCCGGTTCTGGCAGCCAGGTGTCACACTGGACGCAGTGGTGCCACTGATCAGATACGGGGACAGCGTGCTGCGGCGTGCTGCCGCCGCGAGACAAGCGAGCAGGTTTCTTCTTACTGGACATGGCCTGCAACGGAGGAGTCAGTCAACACGAGGCAAGGACAGCGCGATATCGGAGGGGCCACAGAGGGTTGACGTCAACGGCTGGTCACATAATCGAAACAATGATTTATTGTCATTGTCATGCTCTTGACTATAGTCAGGCCAGATCGTTTAAACACCCAGCAAGAAGGCAGCTAACAGAACGATATTTCTTATCTGTCGTGACTCATTCAAAATACAAACTCAGCAAGTTCAGTCTCATTGTGTGCTAGGTAACAGCGCAAGGCGTGTACAATTACAACAGTGTAAGTAAGAGTCTTTCAATAGTCTTTTTTCCTACACTCCAGTGAAAGTGGTCAGCAGGACTGGTGAGCGTGTCGAGTTAAATGGGCTAATGTGCTGGTTACCACCCAGAAGATAATGACGTATTGGTTTAGGGGCCCCGCAAAGCACTGGCCATCGAACGAGACCAGGAAGGCCAGGAACGAGACCAAACGGAAAAAGTTAATGCGTTTGGCACTAACTATTTACGGATGACGAAGGTGGACCAAAACGTCTGCCTAAAATTAAATCAGTGCAGTTCGGGAGACGCTAATTTTCAAACAATTCAATACCCCGACCGTTGAGTATATTGCAAGCATTTAAAAACATCGACAGCAGAGCGCGTGGCAATGGTAGCCTTAGACAAGTACAGCAAACAAAAGAAGCATCTAACCAGAAAAGGCTCGAAGCGGGACACAGCGATCGGTCCAACTCCCAAAACTGCTTAACCAGCATCTCAACACCAGCTACAAGCACAGTAATGTGGCGAACGGCGTAGCAAAGCCGACGGCACGTGTTTTTAACATGTTCATGGCGGTAGCTTCCGAGAACAAAACATGCCACATTGCGCTAACCACTCAGAGACCAGGATATCGGTCATTGCACCTTGTTAGGTCGCGTTCCAGTTGACAGTCTTCACATGAACTTTCGATCATTAAACACTGTCACATGGCGTAACGAGCGGAGTATCGTTTGGAAAGCTAAAGAGCGATAGTGTATTCTAGCGCAGCAAAGGGCCTTGAACAGCATTCACGAGTAATCTCTTTCCGTTCAATCGACGCTTCTGTGACTAGGGATCCAACAGAAGCCACATCAAATCTTGACTGTCTTGTCCAAAGATCAATGAAATCCAGGTTTGTGAGCATCGAAGTCAGGGTAAAAATGCACTTGCGTTCGGAATGGGCTCCAAAGTACTGAACAGGCACAGACAATTGAGCCGGTACCACCATCATCACGGTTCCTGTCCGATTCACAACGGCTTGGCCGAGTTCCGACATCATACTGCGGGACTTCCTGGTCACATCAACTCCGACAAAGTGAATGGTGGGAGCCCACTTAAAGCTGTGCCTGATCTTGACAGCAGTGGTGTCGTTCATTAGCGGCTGATCGGACCAGTCGAGTCGATAGTCGCGCCATACCAGTCGAAACCAGGATGTCAGTTTGCACACCGCATCACCATCATCTAGATCAAAATCTAGAAACACGTCTGATATGCTGACCGTCACGTTCACCACGTCATTCGGCATCCGCGCCGGTCGGCTAGCGCTCCAATTCTTGGCGATGAACTTTCGCACCCGGTCCTCACTCTCGTCGCCTGGTGATGGTTTGGCCCAGCCGAAGCGAGCCGTGGCCAGGCAGCAGTAGACCAGCAGACAGACCGGCAGCATGACGGTGATCCGGCGGCAGTGGAGGCCCACGCGGCGGCGGCAGCGAGGGAACAGTGAGTCTCCCGGCGGCGTCCGACCCAACACTGACTCACACCGGCCGCAGCGGACTTTATATGGCAGACATGGTGGTCCTGCAGCACGCCTGGGGCAGCGGGTAGCGACGAATACAAACGACCAGAGCAGCACGAACGGAAACAAGCACTCAGGGTGTTTATTTCCACTTGCTCATCCAACAAGTCTTAACCAATGGCCGTTTGTCTAAAGCGAAACCGGGGAATCCCCTGAGGTTCATGCAAATAAACAGTCGTTGGGGGAGGGTGCGGTTAGCTGATTCTTGGTAGCGCTCAATCGCTTGGAGGATTGTTTATCGTGAAGTCGGGCCACCGCCCACCACCCATGACGTCATAATAAATGAAGTACTGCCAAAGATGATTCGAACATAAAAACGACAAATGCCAGTAGATAACGCTTCTTCAGAACACAAAATGCATGTGCATCAAGAAATGTTCAGGGATAGTTACTTTACTTTACACTAAAATACTAAATAAAAGTTTTGTCACAAACATAGAAAACACGCTTTAAAGTAGTCACTTAAAAAACTGATGACATGACATTGTTAGGTTTTACCTCGAGGCAAGCTCCGCCATATTGACACAGACGATGTTTCACTTTTGGTAATAATCAAAACAATGTAGATCCTCAAAATATGACACTGATAATAGCAATCAACGCCTACGCCACAATGCACTGGCAAGAAACACAACACAGATATTCAAATAGGCCATCCCAACCGGTTCCTCCTCGGTCACTCACCCTGAGTGTATCCGATCACACCTGGCCGCCCTTCTTGTCGCGCTGTCCTCGCTTGGCGCGGATCCTCTTCACGAACCGGACCTCGGCCCGGTTACCTATACCAAGCTCCTCCAGTCGGGCGTTATCGTCCTTCAGCCGCTGGCCGCCGAACGAGAGCCAGTTGGCGCGCCACACGTACCGCCAGCTGATGGCGCGCCGCCGGCCGCCGCGGCGCGCCAGCTCGAGCTCCACGGCGCTGCGCAGCGCCATCTTCAGGTCGCGCACGGTGGCGGTGCGCTGCACGATGACCCGCGTCAGCCGCTGGCCGCGGTTCACCAGCACCCCCATGGCCGTGCCGCGCTCCAGAGCGGTCAGCGAGCGCAGCTCGGCGGGCGTCAGCACGGCCGGCAGGTCGTTCAGCAACGGGTCCTCTGCCAGTAGCCCAGTCAGCGTGTCCCGGAACACGGTCCCCAGCTCCATGTGCGTCAGCTGGTCCTCCGATTCCGGGTCGGGCGCTCCGCCGCCGCCGTCCGATGATCGCTCCGATTTGACGGTGACGCCAGCCGGTAGCTCCGGAGACTGTTCTGGCGGCGCGTCCGTTCGCTCCTCCACTACCGCACTGTGCTGTGGCGGCAGCAGACGAGACTCAGTCACTGACACATGGTCCGAGTCACTGGCTGGGACCAATGAGTGGAGCTGGACGGCCGCAGTCGCTTTCCGGTCAGTTCTCTGCCCATCCACCGCGCGGGATCCGTCAGCCTCTGACGGAGCGGAGTCATCGGGCGACATTGTGCCTCCCACAGCATCACACTTGGCACGTCTCCCCGCCTCTTCACCACATGCATCCATGACAGCTCTCCCTTACTGGCTTTCAGCAGAACACTCAGTATCTTCTGTGGCTGAGTGGACCGAGGCAGAATGTGGTCTGCTACTCCCAGGTCGCGTAGCAATGCCTGTCAATCCTCGGTTGCAGGAGTGGTCTTGAGCTGCACTGCTGCTCTCTCATGCAGTGCAAGTTGATGCCCTCTGCTGCATGGAAGGAGATGATGGGCAACAATCAGAGACGGAGATGAGTACTCTTTGTTTTCATGAAGCAGCTTACTGGTTCAGACATTCCAGTCATCATGGAGTAATTGTCTTGTAGAATAATATGAGCTTCACAATACAGTGTTGTGGAAATGCATGACATGAAGTGAAAATAATGGTACATATAATATTAAGAGGATCACTTTCAGAATTCATAGGGTAAGGGACAAGACGCCTAGTCGGGTAACACGCCCACCACCCTTTATTTGAGAAAATACCAAAACAATTAATAGTTTGTCGTTCCTTTGGAGCCTAAGTGCTGTGGGGCATGAAGCAAAATTTGAGGTGTGTCAGGCTTATCTGGGAGAAGTGGCTGACAGAAGTAGTCTTTCCTTTCCTTATTTTGATTGCTGTAGTTTGATGAGTGAATAATTTGTAGAAAGCAACAACCACACATTTTAAATAGTGAATTTCAAAACATTCAGCTATTAGTAATTCAAGTACCTGCGTCATAATTCCTAGTTGCTACTCACATGTTTATATTCCTCATCTTTCCAACATGTGTGTCAGGGTAAAACGCCCACCAGTTGCAAGGGGTTAGAATAGATGCCCTATCTCTCTTACATGCTATCTTTTTGTGTAAGTACAGTTTCTGTATTAGGAAACTCTAAACATGTGTAAGGCCTGCCTGAAGGACTTATCTTTGAGAAAAAGTTACAAGTTGATGCTAAAACCTGCTATTTTGAGCATCAATGTTTGCATTTTGTAACAGGATATCCCCATTGGGCTTAATATAGGGCATCTTACACCAGCAGCTTGGGCCTCTTACCATCTTACACTGTACACAAGCAGCTTGGGCCTCTTACCCTGTAGGCCAGCCATATACCGGGTAAGATGACTTTTGCAGCCCCTTTTTTAATTGCAAAAATGACCAACTTATCCTCACCAAGAACACTGAGTGAGTTCTTGCATACATTCAAGATAAGGGATCAATTAATTGAATAGCATGATAAATTCATTTATATTATAAAAAAAAAACTAATGAGAAACATGCATTTTCCCTTAAGGTGGCTGACTTGCCCCATATTACCTACCCTATGAATCTTTAAAATATAATGCATTATGAAAAAAGATAACACATTTGATTGGAAAGTAGTTCTAATCCTTGGGTAAATGGTACTATCATATATTTAACAGATCGCCTTCACTCTCTCCCAAATACCCACACAATCATGGAATGAATAAGGGGCCTATTCCTTTAGGAATAACTAGGAACTTAATCCATGGATGAAGTATTCCTGGATAGGACACTTTCTATTCCTCAACACTAGCGCCGGGGACCAAGTGACCGCCCTGGTGGCGGAGCGCCAAAACATTGGTGGAGAGCGTACCGGCGGCCGCCGGGCGCCGCATTGGCGTGCGTGCTAAAAACATGGTAATGGAGAGCGAAATTACCGAGCTTTAGCTCATAAGACACAATTTCAGACACTTGAAACATATTTTTATTCTTTTTTAATAATAATTTTGGCTCCATTCAGTCACTATCAAATACGGAACCATTACCTGATGCCCATAAACTGAGGCGATATTCTTGCCTTGCCGATGCAAATTATCACCAAATATCATCGTTCCTCAGCAGTTAGACACGTCTCCATTGATAATTTAATATGAATATTAACTTATTTTCATGTTATTGCATAAAACATCACTTTATTCTAACATTGGCTCTTCAGCTGTAATCACGAACGTTCACTTGTGAGCAGAATTTAAGCAACTTCTTAAATTATTACTGAGAAAATAATAGGTACTTTCAAGACATTCCTCAATTCCTGTTCTACCAGGTTCACAAAACTTTTCATCAGAATCAGTTGCAGGAACCTAAGCAATTAACGATAAAAGTATACAAAGACGCGTTCCGCCCATAGCCCAGTCTGCAAAACGTGGCAGGCTTCGACGAGATCTCGTCGGGGCAGACACCACAGGTCGGGGCAGAAATAGGGGCAGGTTTCAGGAATATTGGGGCAGAAACAGGAAAATCTGGTGGAGAAGTAAAAAAATTTCACAGTCACACAGAAGTGATTTTCTCAGCTTCTCACTGCTTCCTACATCATTATATCTAATATCGCTACATTATTTGCATCATTAGGGGTGGGAATTGGGCTGCCTCTGACTCAGCATTGATTCGGGGCAGGATTTTGTCTGCCCCGAAAATCTTGTCGAGCTCCCTGCCATGTTTTGCAGACTGGCCCATAGCTGATAGCACGCAATGCTAAAATGGCGCCAACGCCCTCGCCGTCCAAAAATCCGCCGCCACCGTCGGGAAGTCTGAGAATCAGTGGAGTGTCCTATCCAGGAATACCTAATCCATGCTTAATCCATGATCATTCTACACACCTAGGCCCAATCTTACCATTCACCAAATTCTGTAAATGCACATTCACAGCATTTGGTAACATTTTTAACTATTCGGTAGTAATACCATTTATTCATTCGTTCCTGTAACATTTTTAACTATTCGGTACCCATTTATTCATTCGTTCATGGCAGGCAGCATTCACAATCATCAGGGCTATCAAATCCATTGGATAGTAAAATTAGCAAGAAGCAAATAAAAAGGATATTTTTGATCAATGCCGTTAACTCTCAGTGCTACTAAATACCTAGTAAATAAATACTTTTACGCACGGTACCTATATAGAGAACTCTTTTCAAGGCCATATATAGACGGCAATGGTAAGATTGGGCCCTGGACTGAGACAAGCTGAAGCCCATATTACATATGACACCCAGATAACTTACTCAAAATCCAAGGACCATGACTTCAACATCATAGGCCTGGTCGGAATCGGCTGCTGTGCTGTTGTCAGCTGAGATCCAAGCCCCTGATTGGTTGAGATATTGATGACGTATCACGCCTTCCCGCGCTGTGACGTCATACCTCTGCTGACAGCCGGCTTTTCGGCTGCTGGGAGAAGGCAGCAGCACGTCAGCCGAAATTCAAAGTGGCTCGAAAGTGGCGCATGTAAGTCAAAGCGCAGCTTTATAGTGCAGGTGGTTAGTTTTTATATACGATGTTTTTGACGTATTTTGTATTAAAGGGACCCTCCCACCTTCAAAAAAGTTAATGAATTGGCATGAAAGTGATGTCGCTCGGTTCAGAAAGAGCAAAAACGAATATCTACCAAATTTCATCGAAAAATATTCACCGGTTTTCAAGATATTAGACTTTTACTTTTGTTTACTTTTTGGGATCTCCGCTGTTCCTAGCGACTTTATTTGAAAGTGCGGCATTTGTTGCGCGCAAAGCAGCATATACCACCGCGTGCTACAAAACGTTTTAGTCAAACATTTAACGGACGTTCGAAAGCCTGATGACGTCATCAGATTCCCGTAATGGTTAAGAGATAGGGACCACGCTGGTCCCACCCTGCAAGTAAAAGGAAGAAATTTCTTGAACACCATAAAGCTGCGGGGGTTGCAACCAGGATAAATGGTGGTTTCTGAGCCTGGCCGCAAACTTGGCTATCTCAACTCAAAACTAATGTTAAGGTGGGAGGGTCCCTTTAAATATTTTTCGCGAAAGATAGCAATTATTTCTTTTTCATGGCGCAATGTGCGAGTCAGCCTTAAAACAGTACCTACAAATCGAAATGCCAGCACCGCCTCAATTATCAATCCTGTAATTTTTTCTATAGCCTCAGCAAATAAACCTCAGAAATATAATGTAACGACTAACGGAAGATAGTCGTTGAAAAAAGCGCGAAAATGCTACCTCTCCTCAAGTCTCAACTCTCAACCCTATCTGTCGAGCGCCATCTTAGCATCTCAGCGCCATCTGGGCTGACGTTTCCTGTCAGCCGATTATGAACAAGCCCATCAGCAGCGTGGTGTGGGCGGGGCTTATTCTCGGCTGACAAAGTTCTGTCAGCCGATTCCGACCAGGCCTCATCTTTCAGTACACACGTGCATGACGGAAAATAATAATCAATGATCAATCAATACCACTTAGCGAATCTCCTTTATCAACCTATGACGTCATTCATAAAATTTGAAAACTTGAGCCTCCAGCGAAAACAAAATTCTTTGTATTTGTTTTTAGCTTTCTTTGAATGAACTATTTTGACACAAAGTGGTATACGTTTAGATACTTAGCTTCAAATTCAAATTCAGATTCGAAATTCATATTCGATGGAAAAAATGATAAAAACGGACCCCTTAGAATCTCACCAAATTTACACCAGCCACTCAGCATGACCTGGTCATTACAGAATAAAATTATCTAAGCTCGGCAAGCCCTGGGGGCTGAGATATTAGGGGTCAAAGTTCAAGGTCATTGAGGGCGGACCCCTCAGAATTACCTCAAAATTTGCACACAGATGCAAGTTGACCTGCTGAGCACGATGGGCATAAAATCTAAGCCCGGCAAGCCCTGACCTGGAAGTTAGGTCAGGTCAAAGTTTGCAGCCACGTGGAGGTCACGTGACCCTTTTACAGCGGACCCCTCAGATTTTAATGAAATTTTGTGAGCTGATGCATCTAGACACCCTTATTAATATCCTAAATTATCTAAGTTCGGCAAGCTCTGGGGGCTGAGATATGAGGGGTCAAAGGTCAAGGTCATTTGAGAGCGGACCCCTTCAATTTTTGTTAAAACGTAAATCACCCCTCAACTTTGTCTTCTGAATTTAATGGTAAAAATTTCTAAGCTCGGCAAGCCTTAGAAAAGCCAGAATGAGTATTTAGAAAACGAGCATTTGTATTCCAATATGGCTGACAGGTAGGTATTGTGGCGCATCAATGACATAATTGACGCGTAAAATGTAAACAAACTGCATGCTTCCAAATGAAGCAATTCCTTTACAAATCGATCGATTTTACTATTTCCTTCATAGATAGTGGCCGTTTAATGTCTATTGATGGATTACGAGTCTACGACCTCATACCTATCTTCATAACGGGCCAGTGACCCCTGATATAAGCCCTTGGTGGATGAATGACCTCTAACCTTTTCTAGTACCTACAGGTCACACACATTCGACCTATCCCCGAAGATCGCTAGCCATAGGTGTCACTTCAACTTGAGCTCTCACATCTCCTAACTCAGATCTGACCTGAACTGAGATGAATGACGCGTCACGGGCCTCTGACCTCCGTCATGTGGGTCATTGACCTTTGACGTACCCAGAAAGGAATCACTTACCTGACATGTTTAAAGGACCAGTGACCTCTGATTTGTCTGAACTCTCGCCCGTGTGCGGTGTGCGGGTGAAGGGGCCGGAGGTACGTTGGAACCCCGCCCGCCGCCGTTCGGGCCCCTGATGGGAGTTAGAGCTTCGCGGAAAAACGAGTGTATTGCGAGCGTTACGAGTTATCTTAGGATAACCAGTTTTAGTCCTGGGTCAGTGACCTCAGTTGACCTCGTATGACCTGCACACCAATATGACCTGCTTTCACATACGTCACAGACATTTTTCCATAAAGATGACTCAGTCGTTTTCATCTCATTGTCACTTTGTAGGTCGCACCATTTATTGATGAACCAAGTTAGATAACCCGACGACTTCACGTGAGGATACATAGTAACATGTCACAATCGGCATTAAGCAGCCTCGCCTCGGCAAACACTGACGAATAGAAAACACTCCCCAGTCCCCACGCCTCCGCCAGTGATAATAAAGCCTACAAAACGTTAACTGGTCAACTCCGAGCAGTCGCGCAGCACTAGTCAATCAATGAGTACATTGCGACGCCGTCAACATGGGCGGGTCCCGTGGTGGACAGTGTCAAGTCGTGCTTAGCTACGATACGGCCGCGCCCGTACAGATCACCCGCGCCGTACGGCCCCAAACACGACCAAACACTGGCGGCGGTACACGGGCTCGCTCGGACCGCTCCAGTCGCTGCTGGGTGACTCACTTCAAGCTGAGCTCAGCACATCACTCAGAGATCCTACCTGAGCGTCCGGCGGCGACGGCGAGGTGCCGTCTCACCGGGCTGGCCAGCAGACTGAGGCAGCTGGCGCACGGCAGCGTACCGTGCTCATATTGCGCCGGCACCACGCCGATGGCACCTCGCAACACGAGCTGAACAGCTCCGTCCGGTACTCGAGCACCTTGCGGCTGTCGCGGTAGCGTTTGAACACATTAAGTGGGTTCATGTCCTCTGTTGTTGTTGTTGTTGTTGTTGTTTCCCTCCAGCCCTAGGGCGTATCCTGCCGGCTCTGGAGGGGGACGAAGGCGGCACCCAGGGCCGCTACTGCGTCGATGCTGCGCAGGTCCTCGTGGGTCGGGTGTATAGTTCCGAGCACTCGGAACCGGCAGTTGCACCAGGGCGGGACACCGCATCAGCGCGTGGGCCGAGGTGTCTGCTTCCTCACGACAGAGCCCACACCGGCAGTTGGCGATACCAGCCGTCGGGCCAGGCCGCTCTGGTCCTCGCACGCGCCAGCCTTGCCGCTGCTCTCTGGATCGTTCTGGTGTCCAGTGGTGTGTGTCTGAGTTCTGGTCCAGGGCGGAGGTCTCCTCCGCCAGGGTGTCTGCCCTCTCATTTCCAGGAAGGCCGCAATGCGAGGGGACCCACTGGAGGTGAATGGGTCGTCCCGCGGACGACGGCGGCTGGTTGTACGAGTGGTGCGCGGTGACGTGGTGGCCCCCGACGCCGGCCGCCGCCGCACAGCGTGCGACAGGATGTTGTTGCCTGTTGGTGCCATACCTACTCCTGTGGCAAGCAACAGAATCAGAGCGTCAGGAGGGGCGCATGTGATCAACAACGCTGGATATTCGCATATTATTTCAACAGACAAAGAGAAAAACAGCACAGGAGAAGAATGAATAGCAACCATAGCAGCCCTTTCCCTGACGTCCACACGCATGTAGTTGGATTCACCCTATCTGGTTCTCTGCTCGATGTTATTCTGGTGAGCAGCAGGGAGATTGTCTCGCGGGCCGGCACGCGCACCTGCCACTTTAGCCCTCACTCGTTCGTGAGAGCCGAGTTAGCGTTACCGCGTCCTGACAGGAAGCCGGTTACCGTCGAGTGCCGCGGGATACAGCGTATCGATGAGCTCGCCTTCTGCTGTGACTTGTCGGCCGCTGATTGGTCTCCTGTGTACCAGACCGACAGCACAGCCGAACAGTGGCAACATTTCCTGGATGCATTTACACCGGTGCTTGACAGTCACGCACCGATGAAAAGGGTCAAGATCCACAACCCGACCGCGCCGCCAGTGTCTGATGACACGAAGCAGCTCATGGCTACTCGGCGGCGTGCGCTGCGTGACGGCGACACCGAGCTCTACCGCGAGGTGAATCGCCAAGTCAAGGCGTCAATCCGCCGTGACAGTCGAGAGCACATCAACAACAAGATCAGGGAACAAGGCCCCCGCTCTACGTGGCGCAACCTACGGTCAGTGGTCGCTGGCAAGAAATCACAGGCAGTGCTCCCGTCTGTTGGGGCAGACGAGATGAACTCGTACTTTGTCCAGGTCGGGCCGCGGGTGGCGCGTGAGGTGCGGGAGCGAGACGGTGACCGCGTAGTACCGTGCCGGCTGCCGCGTGTGGGCTCGTGCGGGTTCACAGTCCGGCCTGTGGACATCGATATGCTGCGCAGGGTGGTGTTCTCCAGCGAGGCACCTCTGCGTGTGGACTCGACGGGGTGTCGATCAAGATAGTTAAGCTGTGTTTTGATGTGATTGGTCCGATCTTACAACATGTTATTAACAACTGTCTGACCCGAAACGACTTCCCTGGCTCTTGGAAGCATTCTGTGGTGCGACCCATTTTCAAGTCAGGTGACCCGACTTTGCCGGCCAATTATAGGCCGATATCGCTTGTGCCCGTCATCGCCAAGATCACTGAGCGGATCGTCCAGCGTCAGCTCCATTATTACCTCTCTAGCAACTTTCTTCTCTCGGACAGTCAACATGGATTTCGGCCCAACCATTCGACTGCTTCCGCTCTTATTAACGTCTCCGATAGTATACTCTCAGCCATGGACAACAGCGAAATTTCTCTCCTGTGTCTCATTGACCTAAGTAAATGCTTTGATATCATCAACCATTCTAAATTACTTGACAAGCTCCAACTACTTG